CGTGCAGCCAGTGCTGCTCGCGTGCCAGTCAACACAAAGGGACCGAGCTAGCCGCTTTTGTCGAGCATCGACATGAAAACAAGGGACTTTTACTGTTGGACTATGTTCGGGATTGCAGGAGGTAAGTTTGAAAGACGAATAACTCTCCATGCTGTACGGGGCATATTTCAACGGCTTGCTGCCATTGCAACACTCCTAGGACAGTTTGTGGGGGTTCTCAGCAGTTCAAGCAGGAAATGAAGCTCATTCTTACCTCTGCCATCATCAGATCATGGTCTGGTCCGAGTAGCGTTCCAGGCACATTCGCGATCGATGGCCGCGTATCGTGATGCAGGAAGCGTCATCCTACGTCACAGAGCACGCGATCTCACCGTGCATCTGGCAATAAAAATAAAAAAACTGCGCCCAGGCCTTCAGTCACTTTTGCATCAACAGTCGCACAAAAAATTATTGGTGGCACAAGGAGAAGCTTGTCGTTTGGAGTGACAAGTGATCACCGCTGCTTTTCCTTGTCAGAGTCAACACTACACTTTGTTCTGCGGCCTTGGGAGTAGTGTTGGAGTAGAAATTGCTGAGGAGACGTCGCGGAGTGGCGAGCTTTCCTGCGCAGGTATGACTTTGGCCGTATTTCAGCATGGTCGAGTTTAAAACTTCAAAAACGTTTATATCAAGAAAACCCCAAAAGGAAGATGGGGGACATGTCCTCAGCGCTAGAAGAGGTGTTCTACTATCTGCCGGTGTATAGTTCTGGCCAATTGAGAACGTAGATGGCTGTTTTGCCATCGCTTGTAAATTGGCTATTTTCAAGACGATCATTTGTGGCGTCAGGGGGTGATGGACCTCGTCTTCTGGGATGCTGGCGTGGCTAAGCGGTACTGCTCCTGGAACTCTTCTAAGGCGAGGCAATGTTGGCTTGATGGAGTTTTGTTCATAGCTTGTTCGTATACGCTGTGGCGTGACTCGTTCTAGACCCATAAATAATGTGATATTTCGGCCATTTTGAGGGGTATGCAAATTTCAAGGTTCCCTTCAGAAACCTTTTCAAGGGCTTTGCACAGTCGATCCACACCCCAAAGGGAACCTACCTGGAAATGTTTGAGCGAAATCGGAGAAATCCACGTGCACACATACTTTGGTATTCTCAGACATGCTCTCTTAAGGTGTTAGATTTTGGTTCAGGGCTAGGGTCAGTGTTTGGGTTAGGGTTAGGGTTAGGGTTAGCGTTGAGGTTTTGCGTTTGCACCAGCATTCGCATTGCCTGTGTCTTAGAATTGCAATTAGCTGTATGCCTTGGTATTATATTTTGGTTTAGGATTAGGGTTAGGGTTTGGGTTAGGGTTAGGGTTAGGGTTAGGGTTAATGTTTTTTTGTTTGTTTTTTACTCGTTTTCAACAGCATTAGCTCAAGGCCAGGTTTAGAATTGCAAATATTCATTTCCCCTCTTCCTCCCCTCTTCATGGTTTTACTGCATTATGGCGCGCTTTATCTGCGTAGACGCCGAGACCTTTGAGGTCGGCAGAGCAGCCTGGCCCCGCCACCACTTCTCGCACATATTCGGGAATATAGTGGACTTTCGTATCAAAAAAAATAAAAAAATAAAAAAAATAAATAAATGGAACCCCAGTCAAGAAAATGAGCAGTTGGTATTGTAAAAAAGGAAAGAAAAAAAGGAGAAAAGGAAAACACAAAACTCTTTTTTTGGTATTCATTGTATAAGCATCATCAATTTTATCATTCACGGAGCCTGTGGAATTTCGTTTTTTCATGATGGGATTTGTGATTTCTTGGATAAGACTTCTCACATTTCTCACAGACAACTCTTTCATTGGCATATTGTCTGATTTTTTTGTGATTATCTTGATACCACTCTGATGCTGATCTTCCAGGCTTGTTTTTATTCACGGTATCCAGTTTTTCGATCCAGTATCGTTCTCTCCTCTTAAGCTCATCTTCATCAAACATTGACAGAGAGTCGATCTGGACAATTTCTACATGTCCGAGATCAAGCAGAATGAATGAGGTCATAAAACCCCGTTCACCTTTTTGGTAGGCTTTGTAAGCTGATCGGTGACAGTACATCCGATTTTTCAGTGGTAGACAAGTGGACCCCACATATACCTGATCGGTGTGTTGGCTCACAAGTTTGTAAATCTTACAAGGAGAAGTCATCTTTGCTGATAGAAAATCTTTGAAATTCTCATCGGTATACTTCTACGTAACAGGATTCAAATAATCGTTTATGATGACAATTCGGTGTACTTGAAGTAGAAAAAAAGAAGAGAGTTGGTCTCCTTTCTCTTCTCTTTTCTTTCTCTCTTTTCTTTCTCTCTTCTATTTTTCTCACAAATATTCATCAAGAATTTCCTGAACCATCTCTAACAGACGATTGTTGGAGTAGGAACTCGAGAGTACTACATACTTTTTTTCACAAATTCTCAGGAAAATGCTTGGGATGATATTCATTTCTTCATCAAGAGCATTTTCATACACATCATCAAAGAAATCACTGAACAGTGAAGGACTATCTACCATTATTCTATCATTCATCTCATCCCAAGCCGCGGGATCATCCCTTGGATCACCATATCAAACCGCGGCATCCTCCCTTGGATCACCACAATCAGGAGTATCAGGTTCAGAGTGGAAGTCATCATAGGAGAAATAGTCACTTGGAAAAGACGCAGCCATCGTTGTAGGTAATTGATTTCACAAATTCTATCAAACTTGTTGGATCTTACCATAAAACGTGTACAGTTTAGATAAAAATAATTGGTGATATGTGTGGAAAGAAAAAAAGATAGATAGACAAACATGAAAATGTACCACATAATCTGCCGTGGGACAGTTGGGTTTGGATACTCTCTCTCCAACATTCCACAGTTCCGTGACAATATTCTGGGGGTGAGTTTGGAACTCACGAAAGATGATCAGGAGCATGACACGATCAACATCCACATATATACCAATAATCCACAGATTTTTATGTCATTGACAAAAGCAGAGCTTGACAAGATGGATAATGGAAATTTCAGACTTGTTTATGATGAAAAGATTGATGAGAGCATGGAAGATCACTGTGAAAATATGGGATTGTTGGTACATCTTTGTATCCATGAGAAATAAAAAAGTAGATAGATAGATAAAGATGAATGTTCATTTCCTATCGTGTAAGAAAAAGCAACAGATGAGGGGAATACAAGGAGAAGTCACATCAACTGGTCAACCATATGTCAAGGGTAAATGCTCAGTATGTGGTCGATCATGTTCACAATTTATCAAGAAATCGGAAATCAGAGAAGGTGGATTCCTGTCCGGTTTGTTCAAGATGATAGGTTTAGGAGTAAAAAAAAGATAGATACGAAATGGACGGACGATCTGGCTGATGAGTTACACAAGCCCAAGCGTGTGAATTTCACAAGGAGACAAGTGACTGTGAGTGAGATTGATGAAATCTGGTCTGCCGATCTCGTGGACATGACAGCTTTTCGTAAATACAATGATGAAATCAAATTTCTGCTTACTGTCATTGATCTGTTCAGCCGATATGCTTGGGTTGTCCCGCTCGAATGCAAGAAAGGTGTTGACATCCAATCAGCATTTCGATCCACCGTGAAAACTAGCAGCAGGAAACCACGTAAGCTGTGGGTTGATCAGGGTACCGAGTTCTATAATCGAACGTTCAAACACTGGCTTGATGAGAATCAGATCACGATGTACAGCACTCACAACGAAGGAAAGGCTGTTGTAGTTGAGCGTTTCAACCGAACTCTGAAAACCAGGATGTGGAAATACTTCAGCACTAACTCCACCAGCAGGTACATCGATGTCCTTCCACATTTGGTAGAGAAGTACAACACGACAAAACACAGAGGTGTTCGGATGACACCAACTGAGGCATCACGGGAGAAGAACGCCGATCGAATCCGTGACTCACTGGGTGAGAAATCTCCACTATCCAGGTCCACTAAATTTCAGATAGATGACCACGTCCGACTGGTGAAGCAGAAACGACATTTCGAGAAAGGATACACTCCGAACTGGACCGAGGAGGTATTCCGGATCACCGATATTCTCCCGACCAGACCCACTACGTTCTCTGTCAAGGACCTCGATGGTGAATCCGTTGACGGGTCATTCTATGAACAAGAGCTCCAGAAAACTACTCAAGAAATCTACCGGATCGAGAAAGTGCTCCGAAAGGACAACAAGAAGAAACAAGCCCTTGTGAGGTGGAAAGGCTACTCGGCAAGATTCGACAGCTGGGTCCCGTTTGATCAACTCAGCTGGTTGTGAAAAAGCTCCGACTCGGAAACTGAAAAATATGTGAGCTCTGAAAAAGCTCCGACTCCGAAACTGAAAAATTATTATGTGAGCTCTGAAAAAGTCCCGACTCGGAAACTGAAAAATATGTGAGCTCTGAAAAAGCTCCGACTCCGAAACTGAAAAATTATTATGTGAGCTCTGAAAAAGTCCCGACTCGGAAACTGAAAAATATGTGAGCTCTGAAAAAGTCCCGACTCGGAAACTGAAAAATATGTGAGCTCTGAAAAAGCTCAGACTCGGAAACTGAAAAACTCCGAGAAAGGTCAAATCTCACAGTGACGTCAGCTGATGATGACTGTGTCTCCAATCACAAGATCGTGGGTTCGAATCTAGGTTTGGACACCCCGTTCTTTTTTTCTTTCTTTCTAGGATGTAGATTAATGTACATTAGAGGGTAGTGATTATACAGTAATGCTATCACTGATCGAAAAAATCCTTGTGTAGTGTAAAGATGGAATTTGACCTGAGCAAACTCACTATCACCTATGATGGGAAGAAACTCAAGACTGAGAAACAACTCCAGTGGATTCACAAAAAATTAGAGCAAAGAAAGAATCGGGAACTTCTCAAGAAACGGATTCGGAAGAATCGGGAGAATCGGAAGAGGAAACCGATTGTCACACCACCGTTCACAGTCTCAAAGTCAGTACCCAAAGGGATTCTGAAATCGTTCATCTATGAACCGAAAGAGAATCATCCAGATCTGTATATTCTTTGATAGTATCAACATCCCACTGAGAACATTGATACAGAAAGAACTGGAAAATCTCAAGGGTGTGAAAGTCAGTCTGACATTACAAGTAGAAATGGAGAAAGGAGATGACATAACAACCACAGACACACCATACTTCAGGAGTGGACCAATGACAGTCACAACATCTCATGAGATTGATAACGGTATTCAAACGGCACACACACAAATTCATACAAATATCAATAAGTGGATACAGAATGGATCAAACTGGCACATCAATCACATCACCAGATTTTATGTTGATGTAGCAGCATATCAGCCAATGAGAGGTAAATCCTACATTGATTTACCGAACGAGCTCAAGAAAAAGAAGGCAATCATCAATGTCAAGAATAAGGATGATAAATGTCTGATGTGGGCACTGCTCTCAGCTCTGTATCCAGCAAAGAAAATTAGTGACAGGGTAACTCAGTATACAGACTATAGCAACAAACTTGATCTGTTCGGAATCGATTTTCCAACACCACTGAGTCAGATTTCCAAAGTCGAGAAGCAAAACAACCTAGCTATCAATGTCTTTGGGTATGAGGATAACGTGATCTATCCACTACTGCTGACAAAGAAAAGAGGTGAGGAAGTGATCAATCTTCTACTATACCAAAAAGAAGATCAGAATCACTACTGTTGGATCAAAGATTTCAGCAGATTGTGCTACGATCAGTCAAAGCATAAAGCCAGGAAATTCTTCTGTACAAGATGTCTCCAACCACACAACACAGAGAAATCCCTGAGCAATCATCAGGAATATTGTGATAATGTCACTGGATTATCAGCACACATGGTACTACCAGAACCAGACGAAGATGGAAATCCACCAACACTGAAGTTCATTAATCATCACAAAATGCTACAATGTTCCTATGTCATCTATGCTGACACTGAGGCACTGATCAAGAAAATTGAGGGAGTGAAAAGCCAACAAACCAGCCGGGATTCACAACATGTTCCTTGTGGTTTTGGTTATGTCGTGGTACGTTCTGACGGAGTGATGACAAGTCAGTGTTTCTACCGGGGTGCTGATGCCATGGATGTATTCTTTGATAAACTCAAAGATGAGGAGAAGAAAATCCAATCAGCACTCAATAATCCAGCACCGATGGATCTCACTAAGGAACAAGAAGAATTGTTCAGAGAGACAGAAGACTGTTGGATTTGTAAAAAGAAACTTGGTGAGGACAGAGTCCGTGATCACGACCACATCACTGGTGATTTCCGCGGTGCCGCACACAATGACTGTAACATCAAACTCAGAATTTATCCATACAAGCAGCACATCCCTGTGGTTTTTCACAACCTGAAAGGCTATGACAGTCATCATCTCATCGGAGCAATCGGAAAGACAGATGTTGAGACCGTCACATACACGGATAAGGACGGTGTGTGTAAGAGTAAAACTGTGGGTGAGATATCAGTCATTCCCAACAACATGGAGAAATTCATCTCATTCACATGGAGACAGTTCCGGTTCATCGACAGCTGCGAGTTTCTCAATGCGTCACTCGATAGACTTGTGAAAACGACACCAGATGAGTCATTCACTCACACCAAGACGTTGCCAAACCATCAGCTGTTGATGAGGAAAGGAGTATACCCCTATGAGTACATGAACAGCTTCTCCAGGTTCGATGAGACTCAGCTACCAGCACAGAGTAAGTTCTATTCTTCACTGTCTGATGAGGGGGTGAGTGACGATGACTACAAACATGCTGAGAAAATGTGGATGAAATTCGACTGTCAGACTCTTGGTGATTATCACGACTTGTATCTCAAGACCGACGTGTTTCTCTTGGCTGACATCTTTGAGAATTTCAGAGTAGAAGCTGTCAGAACGTATCAGCTGGATCCAGCAAATTACTACACTCTGCCTGGATTTGCCTGGGATGCTCTGTTGATGTACTCAGGTGTGTCCTTGGAATTACTAACAGACTATGATCAGCACTTGTTTGTAGAATCAGGAATGAGAGGCGGTGTGTCGATGGTCTCACAACGATATGCTGCTGCTAATAATCACTATCAGGAGAAATTTGATGCTGATCAGCCATCGTCATTTATCCAGTATCTCGATGCCAACAGTCTCTATGGTTGGGCAATGTCACAACATCTCCCAGTGTCTGATTTTCGGTGGGAGAAACCATCAGAGAAACTCCTGAACAAGATACTGAATACTCAAGATGATTCCTCACCGGGGTATATCGTCGAGTGTGATCTGGAATATCCACACGAACTTCATGAGAAGCACAACGATTATCCAGTTGCTCCAGAACGTCTTTCCGTCAATGAGGACATGCTATCTCCATACCAGCAGGAGCTTGTTGATAAGCTCAATTCTTCCGGAGTAGATGCTCTCAAACTTGTACCAAACTTGAGGGACAAGACAAAGTACGTTCTCCATTACCGAAACTTGAAACTCTACACTCAGCTCGGACTACGTTGTGTCAAAATTCATCGTGCTCTGAAATTTACTCAGACACCGTGGATGAGAAACTACATCGAGAAGAATACAGACCTCCGGAAGAAGGCAAAGGATGATTTCTCTAAGGACTTCTATAAACTGATGAACAATGCGGTGTTTGGGAAAACTATGGAGAACGTTCGGAGGAGAGTCAACATAAAATTGTTGAGAAGTCGTGAGGAGAAATAAATCAAACAGCTTGTTGCCAAACCAACGTACAACCGCCATGTGATCTTCAACGATGACCTGGTCGGGGTACAAAGTAACAGGACAAAGGTCGTCCTCAACAAGCCCATATATGTTGGGATGTCGATTTTGGATCTCTCAAAGACACTCATGTATGACTTTTACTACAATCACCTGAAAGCGATGTATGGCTCTGATGTGAGACTCTTGTACACCGATACAGACAGCTTGGTTCTTCATTTCTTTACTGATGATCTGTTTGATGACATGAGTGAGTTTCTTGAGAAGTATGATACAAGCAATTATGATCAATCACATCCGTTATATTCCGAGAAAAACAAGAAAGTTGTTGGTCTGTTCAAAGATGAACTCGGTGGGAAACTGATCACTGAGTTTGTAGGACTTCGTTCCAAGATGTACAGTTACTCTGGTGAGGAAAGTGGAAAAAGAGCAAAGGGGGTGAAAAAAGCAGTGCTCAAGAAAACTATCACACGTGATGATTTCCGAAATTGTCTCTTGGATCAATCCGTGTTCCATCGAGAAATGACAACACTCCGGAGTCATAGTCACGTTATTTTCGGAGAAACGGTTAATAAGATAGCCTTATCACCATTGGACACAAAACGATACATCATAGAAGATGGATGTAGCACGGTAGCGTTCGGACACCATGAAATACCAAGATATCTGGCTGAGGAGGGGTTTGATAGTAGCATTTCATTCATGAGTTATGCTCCGGATATGATGAAGCAGTTCGTCCAGTGATCATGAGAAAGAAAAAAAGGAAAAAAAAGGAAAAAGAAAGAAAGACATTTTTTTACTTTTTCTTACACATTCGATTTTCTATAATCCTCCCATATAGCATCAAGTCTTTGTTGTGACGTTTTACACTTTGGAATGAATGGTTTGATCTTGATCACATCATCTTCATCATCAATGAGTTTCGAAAGTAAGTTAGGAATGGATTTTTTCTTTGACTTTTTGACTTTTTTCTCTTTATTTGCTACTACCTTGATCCGCTGAATTTCATCAACAAGATTGTTGAATGGGGTTTTGCTAAGATATTTTGGTAAACCAACCTTGTTCAGGGTTATCTCCAACCTTGTTTCGATTCCTGTTCTGGTTTTGGATTTGTCTATTTCTTCGAAGAAAGATGTGGTATCATACAGATCATTTTTCTTCATCTCATACACCTCAAGATCCTCTGGAGTTACTTCATTTTCCAAAATCATCAATTCTATATCTGTAGGAAACCATTCCTGGTTTCTATAGTCAATGTAGTCCGCTATCATCTTATCTTTCCTGGTAGAGTGTTCATCATCTATCCATGTATCCATCACTTCTGTAGTATCCCTGCCCGACCAATACGGAAGCAGTACGGAACTAATACGGAGCTTTGCCTGATGTATATTTAGTGTATCTCCGTATGTAAGCGTACGGCAGCTGCTGCATAAAAGCGGCTGAGCATTTCTGTTTTGATGAAGAGAAGATTAGATTAGATTGGATAGCAATGAAAGCTAACTCGAAGAAGAAGGATTAAACCTCTAGGTGAGCACCGGAGAGAAAGTTATTTATTTTGCCGCTTCTTCTTTCACTAACAATTATATCTCAGGTGTGTACCTGAAAGTAGAATAAAAGTAATTATTGTTGATTTCACCGCGCCTACCACTCGGCTACCCATTACATTGGTGGCAGCGGTGTATTTTTAAATAAAACATTGGTGATTCGACCCCAGACCCCCATGGCTCAACCCACTGCAGCTCCGTGCGACGAATCAAGATGAGAATCCTGTTTCTTGCCTTCCTGGGCCTGGCCCTGCTTATTAGCTTGCAGCACAGTACGGGTGCTAGCGTGGATCACCCTTCTCTCCGCACGTCATTCACTGGAGACTCCGATGGCGATTCCAAGCGACCCGCTACGTACATATATACTACCGGTGGTGATGGCGAAGCTGATGAGGACGATAACAGGCAGGCTGCTGCCCAAGACAAGGAGGGTATTCCCCAAGACCAGCAGCGTTTGATTTTCGCCGGCACGCAGTCGGAAGCACGAGCCCACTCTTCATTTGGTACTTCGCCTCCGTGGTGGGATGCAGATTTTCGTCAACACTATTCCTGGCTAGACCATTACTCTTTACGTCGCGCAAAGCGATGCTATCGACAATGTGAAGACCACGATTCAAGACGAGGAGGGAGGTCAATCAGGTCATTTGTCTGACGCCGAGCTAGCCGCTCTGAGTGACCGGCTCAACCAAGATGAAGATACAACCTGGCTTGCCCTCCGCCGTAGCTCCAGCCGCCGCCGTGGTTACTAACGCTGATTCCAGGTATGGCATTTTCTTTCCTGTCTTCCTTCAGTCTCCCTGTTTTTTTCAGTCTTCCTTTATGCGAGTGTGTGAATCCAGTTTAGTTTGGTAGGCGTCTGATCATGGTGAGCCACGGTTTACCCAGCTAACGTGGGACAATGTGTGTGACAACGCCCCTTATAGTTATAGTGTATTCAGTTCGGTTTTTGAACTGCGATGTTCCTGGCGGGTTGTGCCAGCGTAGTGCAGCAAGAGTGCTGTGGCTTCAGGTCCTATTTGGAGGACAGTTCTTTCCCCTTTTGACCCCGTGAGATCGTGTGAACCTGGTGTGCTTCTACTTTATGATTTGTTATCAGTTCATTTCTTCTGTCTACTCTAAACGTTAGCATTTCCGATATATTATTTGCCATCTTCCGGTTGACGCTGTGTTCGTAACTCTTCACTAATTTTTTGAAAATCACGAGGGCGTGATTATCTGTAGGAAGGGAGGGTGTAGTATCCCTGCCCGACCAATACGGAAGCAGTACGGAACTAATACGGAGCTTTGCCTGATGTATATTTAGTGTATCTCCGTATGTAAGCGTACGGCAGCTGCTGCATAAAAGCGGCTGAGCATTTCTGTTTTGATGAAGAGAAGATTAGATTAGATTGGATAGCAATGAAAGCTAACTCGAAGAAGAAGGATTAAACCTCTAGGTGAGCACCGGAGAGAAAGTTATTTATTTTGCCGCTTCTTCTTTCACTAACAATTATATCTCAGGTGTGTACCTGAAAGTAGAATAAAAGTAATTATTGTTGATTTCACCGCGCCTACCACTCGGCTACCCATTACACTTCTTCTTCTTTGTTTGTGGAGTAGTCGTCATCAAACCAGTCATCCATGATTTCACTTCTAAAAAATATTTTTTGCTTTTTGTTTTTGTGGATTGTTTGACTATTTTTACAAATCGTTTGCTGAGAATTTCACTTCTTCTTTCTGGAAATGCTTTATAGCAACAACAACAAGTTTGAGACTGAGAGTGTCATCGGTCTTGTCTTTGTAAACCCACTTCAGGTGAACGATACCATTGACGGTGTCACCTTGCTTGATCTTGTTGGTTTTTGATGGTTTGTTGTCCTCATCAAAGGTTGTACAATCAGGAGAAATCTGGAGAAACAGTATTGGGTGGTCACACTTTGCTGTGTTAATTCTGCTTCTAACCACATTTCCTTCGGATTCTATCTGCTTCTCGATCCGACGGATGGATTTACAAATGTCACTGTCAGTAGAAAATTTCAGAGAGTCCTCTTGTCCTTTCTTCACAACATTCATGATATTTGTCTCATCAGTGAATTTTATGTATGGTTCCTTATCATTGATTGTCAGTGATCCACATTTATTCCCATCCTTGATTGTAATTCGACAATCAATGGAGTCAGTGAGAATAGCAGCTGTGTCAAACGGGGTTGGTTTCTTGCTTATCATCTTGGAAAGTTTGTGTAGAATCGTTGGTTATACCTATGGCAACCGTTCCTCTAATACAGAATAATTAGGATCATCATCCAAAGCTGAACCACCTGAAGTTGGCTCAGAAACCGACCCCACATCAGTCCTCGAAGTGAGCCAAGATGGGGTAAGTGAAAAAGCTGAAGTTGCCTCAGAAACCGATCCCACATCAGTCCTCGAAGTGAGCCAAGATGGGGTAAGTGAAAAAGCTGAAGTTGGCTCACTTCCGATTTTCTCGGAGACAGCAAGTTGACTCACTTTTCTGGAACTGGGTTGAGCCAACATGGGATCAGTGGTTGGAGTTGTAAAATTAGTACTTGGAGGTGTACAATTAGTACTTGGAGTTGTAATATTAGTACTTGGGTGTCTATCCTTTAGTATAGTAGTATAGGGGGAGGGGGAGACTTTCAAGAGCGGCCCCGAAGGGCCGATCGAGAAAGTTCGATTTTGGCTCACCTGGAAGGTGAGCCAGAACCCCCTCCTCCTATACTACTTAGGGTTAGGGTTAGGGTTAGGGTTAATGTTTTTCATCGTTTTTGGATCGTTCTCGCCAGCATTGGTTCAGGATTAGGCTTAGAATTGCAATTAGCTGAATCCTTCCTAATAGCCTTTGGTCTAGGGCTAGGTCTAGAGTTAGGGTTAGGGTTAGGGTTAGGGTTAGGGTTAGGGTTAATGTTTTTGATCTATTCCGCCAGCATTGGTTCTGGATTAGGCTTAGTATTGCAATTAGCTGTACCCCTTGCTAATAGCCTTTAGTTTAGGGCTAGGGCTAGAGTTAGGGCTAGGGTTAGGGTTAGGGTTAGGGTTAGGGTTAGGGTTAATGTTTTTGATCTATTTCGCCAGCATTGGTTCAGGATTAGGCTTAGTATTGCAATTAGCTGTACCCCTTGCTAATAGCCTTAAGTTTAGGGCTAGGGCTAGAGTTAGGGCTAGGGTAAGGGTTAGGGTTAGGGTTAGGGTTAGGGTTAGGGTTAGGGTTAGGGTTAGGGTTAGGGTTAGGGTTAGGGTTAGGGTTAGGGTTAGGGTTGGGGTTAGGGTTTGGGTTAGCGTTTAGTTTTGCGTTTGCACCAGCTTCGCATTGCCTGTTTCTTAGAATTGCAATAAGCTGTATGGCATGATATTATATTTTGGTTTAGGATTAGGGTTAGGGTTGGGGTTAGGGTTAGGGCTAGGGTTAATGTTTTTTATCGTTTTTTGATCGTTTTCGCCAGC